ATTAAGAAATTTTTGGTAATGTGAGCATTAATTAATAATTAATTATTTGTATCGTTTAAAATCTGTTTAAAACTACGTTTTTTAAAATGTCCTGTCACTTGTGAACACCTTGTATATATTACATTTCTTCTTTTTATTAATATTATTGTGTAATTGTCAAGTCAAAATTCGCTAGCTGTCATTAAATTACAGGTTATACCTATAGCTATAAAAAATAAAACAAAAATAGAAAAAGTTTAAAAAATGAACTTGGTGCTAAATTAAATACTTGGTAAAAAATTAAATTAACATGGTTAATTTTTGAGACGTGTATGATCAGCAAAAGTTTGAAACAATACCAGACATAGTAAAATTGGGTCGGTTTCCTGTGCAAGATTTACTTTCATGTGAACAACTTCCACCATCCATATCAGTAATAGAAATACTTTTAAATACTTGGGAATTATCAGAAACAAATCTTAATCTGTCAGCAAGTGTACCACCAACTCTTAATAATCCTGGACTCAAGTGTTTTGTAACAGCAATTAGTTGGGGGTTACTAAAATTTTAATAGAAGAGAAAATTTCCTCCAGGTTAGACCTTTTTTTTATACTTCATGTCAAAACCAAAGAAACCATCAGCAATGACTGAAGAATCTAGTCCAAGACTTAAATAGTTCTCATTAGTTTTTCGAATTACACCCTTTCCGACATTAATAAATAATACATTAATTGTATTATCTGATGGTTTAAATAATATGGCTGATATGCATATCATAAATAAAAATATGCAAATTATTGTGACAAAATTGGCACAAAATTTTTGGAATCTTTTATCTAAAAATATTTTTTTTAATTTAGATACATCTCAATCATAAAAAAAGTATATACAGACATATATTGTTCATGTGGTGGTTGATTATATTCCTAGAAATTCCAAAGTTTAGGACCATTTTACCACCAATTTAGCCTCTGTCAAATAAAATGACGAATTATAGAGAAAACTTACATGGAAATTATAATTTTTATAAAAAAAATGACATTGATGACACTTACTCTGTGATTATTATCTTATAAATCAAAAAGTAGTAAATGCATCTGAATGCATCCTGTTTCCAGACTTCATTTTCTTCTAATGGTTATTGCGTCTTATATAATATAGAAGATCTTTTAAATATACCGAA